AAAAAAAAAAAAAAAAAAAAAAAAAAAAAAAAAAAAAAAAAAAAAAAAAAAAAAAAAAAAAAAAAAAAAAAAAAAAAAAAAAAAAAAAAAAAAAAAAAAAAAAAAAAAAAAAAAAAAAAAAAAAAAAAAAAAAAAAAAAAAAAAAAAAAAAAAAAAAAAAAAAAAAAAAAAAAAAAAAAAAAAAAAAAAAAAAAAAAAAAAAAAAAAAAAAAAAAAAAAAAAAAAAAAAAAAAAAAAAAAAAAAAAAAAAAAAAAAAAAAAAAAAAAAAAAAAAAAAAAAAAAAAAAAAAAAAAAAAAAAAAAAAAAAAAAAAAAAAAAAAAAAAAAAAAAAAAAAAAAAAAAATTTTGAAAAAAAAAAAAAAAAAAAAAAAAAAAAAAAAAAAAAAAAAAAAAAAAAAAAAAAAAAAAAAAAAAAAAAAAAAAAAAAAAAAAAAAAAAAAAAAAAAAAATTTTTTAAAAAAAAAAAAAAAAAAAAAAAAAAAAAAAAAAAAAAAAAAAAAAAAAAAAAAAAAAAAAAAAAAAAAAAAAAAAAAAAAAAAAAAAAAAAAAAAAAAAAAAAAAAAAAAAAAAAAAAAAAAAAAAAAAAAAAAAAAAAAAAAAAAAAAAAAAAAAAAAAAATAAAAAAAAAAGTTAAAAAAAAAAAAAAAAAAAAAAAAAAAAAAAAAAAAAAAAAAAAAAAAAAAAAAAAAATAAAGTGCTGCGTATAAAAAAAAACAAAAAAAAAAAAAAAAAAAAAAAAAAAAAAAAAAAAAAAAAAAAAAAAAAAAAAAAAAAAAAAAAAAAAAAAAAAAAAAAAAAAAAAAAAAAAAAAAAAAAAAAAAAAAAAAAAAAAAAAAATAAAAAAAAAAAAAAAAAAAAAAAAAAAAAAAAAAAAAAAAAAAAAAAAAAAAAAAAAAAAAAAAAAAAAAAAAAAAAAAAAAAAAAAAAAAAAAAAAAAAAAAAAAAAAAAAAAAAAAAAAAAAAAAAAAAAAAAAAAAAAAAAAAAAAAAAAAAAAAAAAAAAAAAAAAAAAAAAAAAAAAAAAAAAAAAAAAAAAAAAAAAAAAAAAAATAAAAAAAAAAAAAAAAAAAAAAAAAAAAAAATAAAAAAAAAAAAAAAAAAAAAAAAAAAAAAAAAAAAAAAAAAAAAAAAATTTTGGAAAAAAAAAAAAAAAAAAAAAAATAAAAAAAAAAAAAAAAAAAAAAAAAAAAAAAATGAAAAAAACTTGGAAAAAAAAAAAAAAAAAAAAAAACACAGTGCTGTTTTCAGTTCAAAATTTAAAAAAAAAAGGTACTTACAAAAAAAATTAAAAAAACCTGTTCACAGAAAAAAAAAAAAAAAGAAAAAAAAAAAAAAAAAAAAAAAAAAAAAAAAAAAAAAAAAAAAAAAAAAAAAAAAAAAAAATGCATTAAAAAAAAAAAAAAACAAAAAATGAAAAAAAAAAAAAAAAAAAAAAAAAAAAAAAAAAAGCGCCAAAAAAAACCAAAAAAAAAATTAAAGACAAAATCAAAAAAAAAAAAAAAAAAAAAAAAAAAAAAAAAAAAAAAAAAAAAAAAAGTTGCAAAAAAAGGAAAAAAAAAAAAAAAAAAAAATCCCAGGCTGGAAAAAAAAAAAGGCAAAAAGGTAAAAAAAAAAAAAAAAAAGCCCCCACACACGGAAAAAAAACCTGAAAAAGCGAACCCACACAAAACAGAAAAAACACAACACAAAAAAACCAACACTGACAAAGATCAGCAGGCACTAGAAGAGCAGGCTGTGGGATCGTGATGATGTCATCACTCACTGACACATTGCACATGGGATGTCTAGCTGGCCGGGTCACACTCACACAGACACGAGAGACATCAGAGTCAAACATTACCTTCCTCCAAAGGCGCAGCTCTGCCTCTGCTGATGAATGGGAAGAGAAGGGTTGGAACTCCACAGTGATCAGCAGCCACCAGCCAGCTTGCAGTAAGGGACTGCGTCTAAGAGGAACACTGGAAGGCGCAGCAGCTCACTGGCCCTAGACATGTGGCATCTTTCTCTATCCTTCTCTGTACTCTCCTCCTCTCTGCCGCCCCTCCCCTCAGCTGGAGGATCATTCATGACCTGGCGGCACAAATTGCTAAATCAGCCAATCACATGGCAGCAACTTCATGCATTTAGGTATCTAGACGTGGTGAAGACTACTTACTGAAGTTCAAAACCAGGCATCAGAATGGGGAAGAAAGGGGATTTAAGTGACTTTGAATGTGGCATGGTTGTTGGTGCCAGACAGGCTGGTCTGAGTATTTAAAAAAATGCTGGTCTACTAAAAAAAATTCACTCAAAACCATCTCTAGGGTTTACAGAGAATGGTCTGAAAAAGAGAAAATATCCAGTGAGTGGCATTTGTGTGGACAAAAATGCCTTGTCGATGTCAGAGGAGAATGGGCAGACTGGTTCCAGAAGATAGAAAAGCAACAGTAACTCAAATAACCCCTCATTACAACCAAGGTATGCAGAATACCATCTCTGAATGCACAACATGTTGAACCTTGAAGCAGATGGGCTACAGCAGCAGAAGACCTCACCGATTGCCACTCCTGTCAGCTAAGATCAGAAAATGGAGGCTACAATTCGCACAGATTCACCAAAATTGGACAATAGAAGATTTGAAAACATTGCCTGGTCTGATGAGTATCGATTTCAGCTGCAACATTCAGATGGTAGGGTCAGAATTGGCATAAACAACATGAAAGCATTTTATTATTATTATTATTATTATACAGTATTTATAAAGCGCCAATAGTTCGCTCAGCGCTGTACATTACAAAGGGGGACAGAACATGTGACAGAACAATACCAATACAATGCAAAACATGAGGGGATCGAGGGCCCTGCTCTTTCGAGCTTACAATCTAGGAGGGAGGGGGTGGTGGCACAGGAGGAGATAGCTGTGGGGGATGGAGTGGTAGGAAGAGTGGAGGAGGTCGGCAAGTTAGCAGGGGGTGGAGTAGGCTTCCCTGAAGAGATGGGTTTTTCAGGGTGCGCCTAAACGAGAGGAGAGTAGGTGATAATCTGATGGGTTGGGGCAGGGATTTCCAGAGGATGGGTGACACCCTGGAGAAGTCCTGGAGGCGGGCATGGGGAGGAGGAGACCAGGGAACTAGAGAGAAGGAGGTCTTGTGAGGAGCGGAGTGTGCGTGTTGGGTGGTACTTGGATATTAGGTCAGTGATGTAGTTTGGGGCAGTATGGTGGACGGCTTTGTACGTCAGTGTTAGGATTTTGAATTTGATCCGTTGCGCAATCGGAAGCCAGTGGAGGGATTGGCAGAGGGGGGGTGGCGGAGATGGAGCGGTTGGAAAGGTGAATGAGTCTGGCAGCCGTATTCAGGATGGACTGAAGCGGGGATAGCCAGCGGCGAGGCAGGCCAGTGAGGAGGGAGTTGCAGTAGTCGAGTCGTGATATGATGAGGGAGTGGATGAGCTGTTTAGTGGTTTCTGGGGTTAGGAACGTGCGGATTTTGGCGATGTTGCGGAGGTGGAGTCTGCACGAGTTTGTTAAAGATTGGACTTGGGGCTGGAAGGATAGGTTGGAGTCCAGAATGACACCCAACAACGCCAATATCAAAGCATGGATCCATCCTGCCTTTATCAATGGTTCAGGCTGGTGGGGGTGGTGTCATGGTGTGGTGGATCCATCCTGCCTTGTATCAATGGTTCAGGCTGGTGGTGGTGGTGTCATGGTGTGGTGGATCCATCCTGCCGTGTATCAGTGGTTCAGGCTGGTGGTGGTGGTGGTGTCATGGTGTGGTGGATCCATCCTGCCTTGTATCAATGGTTCAGGCTGGTGGTGGTGGTGGTGTCATGGTGTGGTGGATCCATCCTGCCTTGTATCAATGGTTCAGGCTGGTGGGGGGTGGTGTCATGGTGTGGCAGATCCACCCTGCCAACAAGAAAGAAGGAAAAACCATTGTATAAAAAATAGTGATCTCTTTTCCTTCTTTCTTGTTCTCTGAGATCACTATTCTTGATACAATGGTTTTATATGTCTTGTTACAATGTGTTAGTTAATAAAGAATACCTGTCCTAATCAGCACTCCTGAATCCTGAGGATACGACTGCTGATACATTGTAACAACCTTGTATTAACAGATCAGGCTGGTGGTGGTGGTGTCATGGTGTGTCTTGTGACCTGCTGGCCAGCACTGGTACTGCAGCCCACACATCAAGTGAGTCATTTCCTGACTCTGTGGGGAGAGGCTGTGTGTGAAGCTGCTCTGCTCTTCTAAGCTCCAGGAGGGCCCAAGAAGCCTGGGGCTTGCCTGCCCCAACCCAGCCCAGGTGGGATGACGGTCCCTGGGCCTGGTTCTACTGGCCTGAAGGCCCCAAAGCCTGGGACCTCAGGTGACTTATCTGGCCCGGACAGGATAGAAGGCCCTGGGCCTAGTCCTGAAGAGGAGAAGGCCCCAAAGCCTGGGACCCCAAGTGCCCTGCCCGACCCAGGCAGGAAGGAGGGACCTGAGCCTGGGTCCAGCAAGGTTAGTACCCTAGAGGAACCTAGTAAAGGCCTCCGAATCCCAGCAGTGGAGGACCTGGGAACAGCCCCAAAGACGGGGGAAACCTATGCCGCATATCGGGAACATGTGGTTGTTCGGGCCCGGCTGATTTAGAGGGAGGAAGCTAAGCTGCAGAAGTTCTCATTAGAGCTAAAAAGGCTCCGGGCCTCTTATGCCCGGGTTTGGTCTAGCAAGAGGCAGGCCATGTAGCCAGGCCTGGAGGCCCTGGAGCTCCAGGTCTCCCAGCAGGGACGTTATGTTGCTGCACTGCAGCGGAAGAGTGGGGCCTTGTCGGAGAAATATCTACATAAGGCTAGATTTAAGGCTGCAAGAGGCCGCAGAGTGGCGGCATTGTGGGGGCCAGTGGAAGGGTTCTCCTTTGTAGAAGACCTGTCGGAGGGGCAGCTGGTGGAAGGAGAGAAGGAGCAAAGACAGGATGCATCTGCTCCGATGGAAGGAGACATGGCATCTGCTAATGTGCAGGATGGCGTTGGATCGCAGGAGTCCCTCCCCCCAGGGCAGCAACCCGTGGATTGGGGGACCCAAGTGGAGGAGGCAGAGTCAGCGGGAGAGCTCCGTTTCGTGTCAAGGGAAGTTCCGGGGTTCCGTGAATCAGACTTCCGGTTCACGACGGAAGAGTCAGAGGAGGAAGGAGGAAGTGACGTCGTTCCCAGGAAGCCGGCCAAGATGGTGGAATCCAAGCTGTCGGATGCCGAGGTCAAAGTGAGATGCTGGAAGGGGTGGCGGCTCTCCTTGAGGGAAAGGGTTGACTTGATCAAGACTTTTTTGCTCCAAGTCTTTTTGTACGTCAGCTTCGTTTGCCTCTTGCCGGAATCGCTCTATACGAGGATCTATAGCTGTTTCTTCCAGATGTTATGGGGGAATTGGCTGAACCTCGTCAAGAGGGACGTGACTTACTCATCCAGGCGGGAGGGTGGCCTAGGTATGGTCAACCCGGTGGTCTTTTTCTCTCTAATGTTCTTGAAACATAACTTTGGTAACATGCTGGCAGAGAGACCGCCTGCATGGGTAGGACTGTTCGGGATCTGGTTTGGACCCCTTCTGCGCAGTTGGGAGAGTGGCGGGCCAGTGAGAAGCCTGCGGGTCAAGCATGGTGAGCTCCGGCTTATGTGGCCCCGTGCCTGAAGTTACTCCGGCGGTGGCATGTGACTGCGTAGGAGGTCCGGTCCCTCCCTAGGAGGCTCCTGGGTGAGAGGATTGTGGCATCTGCTTTCCATGCACCGCTGGCCTTGAGAGATTGCCTGGGCCATGTTATGAGGGAGGGTTTGCGGTTGGCAACCAAAACCTGAAAGACGTGGAAGAAAGCGCAAAACTGCCATTCGAATGGATAGAAGAATAGCCAACATGGCGCGGACTCAGCCAACAATCAGCTCCAGGAGGATGAAAGAAGGTGTGACGTTCCCTGTGAGGACTGTTACAATTAGAAGACGCCTATGTGAAGCCAAGCTATCTGCAAGAAGCCCCCGCAAAGTCCCACTGTTGGGAAAAAGACGTGTGCTGAAGAGGTTACAATTTGCCAAAGAGCACATGGACTGGCCTAAAGAGAAATGGCACAACATTTTGTGGACTGATGAAAATAAGATTGTTCTTTTTGGGTCTAGTTTGTCAGATGACCCCCAAACACTGAATTCAAGCCACAGTACACTGTGAAAACTGTGAAGAATGGTGGTGCAAGCATCATGATATGGGGATGTTTCTCATACTACGGTGTTGGGCCTATTTATCGCATACCAGGGATCATGGATCAGTTTTAATACATCAGAATACTTGAAGAGGTCATGCTGCCTTATGCTGAAGAGGAAATGCCCTTGAAATGGGTGTTCCAACAAGACAACGACCCCAAACACACCAGTAAATGTGCAACATCTTGGTTCCAGACCAACAAGATGGACGTTATGGAGTGGCCAGCCCAATCCCCGGATCTTCATCCAATAGAAAACTTGTGGGGTGACATCAAAAATGCCGTTTCTGAGGCAAAACCAAGAAATAGAGAAGAACTGTGGAATGTGGTCCAATCATCCTGGGCTGGAATACCTGATCACAGGGGCCAGAAGTTGGGGGACTCCATACAACACAGATGTACAGCAGTTCTCAGAAACAGTGCGACTACAACCAAATATTCATGAAGTCATTCAAAGGAAAGCAAAATCTTCAAACATTTTTCGGTTTATATAGTGAATGTTTGAGTTTGTAAAGAAAAATACAAACACTGCGATTTTTTTGAACCGTCTAATATTCAATTTTCTTCAATTTTTTTAGAGGAACAACACAAATTTGATATATTTTTCTTCGTGTTTTGATTTGGAATAGAATGTGTTGTGTTCCCAATGCATTTGTGTGGATGGAAATAAAAGCTATTAGAAGGATTTTGAGCTTTAGTCACTTTTTTCAACACACTGCTATTATTTTGAACAGAACTGTAGGTATTAGTTAATAAAGGACACCTGTCCTAATCAGCACTCCTGAATCCTGAGGATACGCCTACTGATACATTGTAACAAAACATATATAAAACCATTGTATCAAAAAGAGTGATCTCAGAGAACAACACGAAAAAAGGAGGAAAAGAGATCACTAATTTTGATACAATGGTTTTATATGTTTTGTTACAATGTATCAGCAGTCGTATCCTCAGGATTCAGGAGTGCTGATTAGGACAGGTGTTCTTTATTAACTAACACATTGTAACAAGACATATAAAACCATTGTATCAAAAGTAGTGATCTCAGAGAGCAAGAAAGAAGGAAAAGAGATCACTATTTTTGATACAGTGCCCTGATGATCGGTGCCGATCCCTGCTCTGACAACTGCCAGTTCTCGGCGGTACTTTCCTCGCGCTCTGACAGTGTGAGGAAAGTGCAGCCGAGAACCGGCAATTGCATTTCCCGATGATCAGTGTGTCATTGGACACGGCTGATCATGTGGTAAAAGGCCGCTGTGATTGGCCTTTTACCACAACACATGATCAGCTGTGTCCGTAGGACACCGATCACAGAGATCGCCGGGGGGCGCGCAGGAGAGCGCGTTCTGGGAGGATGTCATATGACGCCCTCCCAGGACTGGCCAGCCACAGTGCAGCCGTCATTCGGCGATCTGTGGTCAGCAGGTGGTTAACTAACACATTATAACAAAACATAAAAATCCATTGTATCAAAAATAGTGATCTTTTTTCCTTCTTTCTTGTTTTCTGAGATTTTTGATACAATGGTTTTATATGTCTTGTTACAATGTGTTAGTTAATAAAGAACACCTGTCCTAATCAGCACTCCTGAATCCTGAGGATACGACTGCTGATACATTGTAACAAAACATATAAAACCATTGTATCAAAATTAGTGATCTCTTTGCCTCCTTTCTTGCTGTTCTCTGAGATCACTATTTTTGATACATTGTAACAAGACATACAGTGGGGATCGAAAGTTTGGGCACCCCAGCTAAAAATTTGTATTAATGTGCATAAAGAAGCCAAGGAAAGATGGAAAAATCTCCAAAAGGCATCAAATTACAGATTAGACATTCTTATAATATGTCAACAAAAGTTAGATTTTATTTCCATCATTTACGCTTTCAAAATAACAGAAAACAAAAAAAAATGGCGTCTGCAAAAGTTTGAACACCCTGCAGAATTTATAGCATGCACTGCCCCCTTTGCAAAGCTGAGACCTGCCAGTGTCATGGATTGTTCTCAATCATCGTCTGGGAAGACCAGGTGATGTCAAGCTCAAAGGTTTTAAATGCCCAGACTCATCTGACCTTGCCCCAACAATCAGCACCATGGGTTCTTCTAAGCAGTTGTCTAGAAAACTGAAACTGAAAATAGTTGACGCTCACAAAGCTGGAGAAGGCTATAAGAAGATAGCAAAGCGTTTTCAGATGTCAATATCCTCTGTTCGGAATGTAATTAAGAAATGGCAGTCATCAGGAACAGTGGAAGTTAAAGCAAGATCTGGAAGACCAAGAAAAATATCAGACAGAACAGCTCGCAGGATTGTGAGAAAAACAATTCAAAACCCAGGTTTGACTGCACGATCCCTCCAGAAAGATCTGGCAGACACTGGAGTTGTGGTCACTATTCCACTATAAAGAGATACTTGTACAAATATGGTGTTCATGGAAGAGTCATCAGAAGAAAACCTCTTCTACGTCCTCACCATAAAAATCATCGTTTGAACTTTGCAAATGAACATATAGACAAGCCTGATGCATTTTGGAAACAAGTTCTGTGGACCGATGAGGTTAAAATTGAACTTTTTTGGCCGGAATGAGCAAAGGTACGTTTGGAGAAGAAGGGGCACAGAATTTAATGAAAAGAACCTCTGTCCAACTGTTAAGCATGGGGTTGGATCAATCATGCTTTGGGGTTGTGTTGCAGCCAGTGGCACAGGGAACATCTCACGAGTAGAAGGAAAAATGGATTCAATAAAATTTCAGCAAATTTTGGATGATAACTTGATGCCATCTGTGAAAAAGCTGAAGTTAAAGAGAGGATGGCTTCTACAAATGGATAATAATCCTAAACACACCTCGAAATCCACAGGGGATTACATCAAGAGGCGTAAACTGAAGGTTTTGCCATGGCCTTCACAATCTCCTGACCTCAACATAATTGAAAATCTATGGATAGACCTTAAAAGAGCCGTGCGTGACAGACTGCCCAGAAATCTCAAAGAACTGGAAGACTTTTGTAAGGAAGAATGGGCAAAGATACCTCAAACTAGAATTGAAAGACTCTTGGCTGGCTACAAAAAGCGTTTACAAGCTGTGATACTTGCCAAAGGGGGCAGTACAAGATATTAACTCTGCAGGGGGCCCAAACTTTTGCAGACGCCATTTTTTTGTTTTCTGTTATTTTGAAAGTGTAAATGATGGAAATAAAATCTAACTTTTGTTGACATATTATAAGAATGTCTAATCTGTAATTTGATGCCTTTTGGAGATTTTTCCATCTTTCCTTGGCTTCTTTATGCAGATTAATACAAATTTTTAGCTGGGGTGCCCAAACTTTCCATCCCCACTGTATATAAATCCATTGTATCAGCAGGCATATCCTCATGATTCAGGAGTGCTGATTAGGACAGGTGTTCTTTATTAACTAACATCTTATAAGACGGCACTTTTGTGTCCTGGTGTTTTGTGTGTCCTATGGATCAATAAATACTCACTATATTCATCTATCCTCCGGTGTACGGCTGACCCTTCTTCCTATTGCATAGTGTGTGGTTGTGAGCCAGAGCCGGCACCTGTTGTGGATTGATCTGGATTGTTTGCCTGAGCGGTATACCTTTGTTCTTTGAGCTCTTGGAACCAGCCAGGAATTTTGGCAAAAAAAAAATAAACACTTTAAAATTACATTTCTGTTCCAAACAGTTCCACACAATAAGTCCAAGTCATTTCTCTTTGTGCTGCTTATTCATTTATTTATTTATTCATCTTTTTTAAGCAAGTTCTGATACATTCAGTAATGTTTCAGAGAAGACCCCACAACTCCCAAAAAAACAGAAAATGCTGCAATCAACAAGGCTAAGTTTTAGTAACACAGGCAAAAGGCTGGAGGGATGAGCGGGTTGGTAACACAGTCAGATGGCTGGAGGGATGTCCGGGTTGGTAACACAGTCAGATGGCTGGAGGGATGTCCGGGTTGGTAACACAGATGGCTGGAGGGATGTCCGGATTGGTAACACAGTCAGATGGCTGGAGGGATGTCCGGGTTGGTAACACAGATGGCTGGAGGGATGTCCGGATTGGTAACACAGTCAGATGGCTGGAGGGATGTCCGGGTTGGTAACACAGATGGCTGGAGGGATGTCCAGGTTGGTAACACAGATGGCTGGAGGGATGTCCAGGTTGGTAACACAGATGGCTGGAGGGATGTCCGGGTTGGTAAAACAGGCAGAAGGCTGGAGGGATGAGCGGGTTGGTAACACAGGCAGGAGGCTGGAGGGATGAGCGGGTTGGTAACACAAGCAGAAGGCTGGAGGGATGAGCGGGTTGGTAACACAGGCAGAAGGCTGGAGGGATGAGCGGGTTGGTAACACAGGCAGGAGGCTGGAGGGATGAGCGGGTTGGTAACACAGGCAGGAGGCTGGAGGGATGAGCGGGTTGGTAACACAGGCAGAAGGCTGGAGGGATGAGCGGGTTGGTAACACAAGCAGAAGGCTGGAGGGATGAGCGGGTTGGTAACACAGGCAAGAGGCTGGAGGGATGAGCGGTTTGGTAACACAGGCAGGAGGCTGGAGGGATGAGCGGGTTGGTAACACAGGCAGGAGGCTGGAGG